ATCAAATCTTTCAATCTACAAGTGCTTCAAAGTCAAGATGCTACAAACTCAAAATGCTTCAATATCAAAGCGATCTAATGACACAATGCTTCGGTGTCAAAATGTTCAATTATACTCTGCTTCAACTTCCAAATGTTTCAATTCACAAATGCTTCAAAAGCCAGGAGGCTGTAGTTAAAATGATTTAATTATACAGTGCTTCAACCTCAAAATGTTTCAGTTTGCTTTCAAATGCTTCAACCTTCGAATGCTTCAAAGCCCAGATGCTTCAACGTTAAGATTTCCTAATGTTAAAAAGCTTCAATGTTAAAATTCTTCCATTTCAAAATGTCGGAACTCACAAATGTTTCATTTATGAATGCTTCAAAGCCAATCTGTTGCACCGTCAAAATACTTCAACACCAAATCAATCCTATGTAAAAATTCTTTGATATCGAACGAATCCAATTGACAAAATGCTCCGCTATAAGAATGATTCATTTCAGTTGAATGGTGCTGCAAGCCCCTAAACGTTTCAATTTCCAATCGAACCTATAAGCCAAGGCCAAAGTCAATGTAATCCCAAAAATAACCGTCCGGCAGCCTACACGGTGATTAAAACAAAATGTATCTCCAACTACAAACCTAAAACGAAAACGCACTAATCACCAGCCAAACAGAAACGGTTTCGTCAAGAACACCCTCAACCTCTAGCTCTTCATCTTCTTCCTTCAATTCCGTTCGCTTCTGTTCGGTCTGAGTCATCGTCCGTGCAAGTGTCTCGAGGGCGTCTGCTAAGTCACATGCTAAATTTGGTTACCTTACCATCGGGATTGTATTACGCGCGTGGGCTTATTCTAATATTTCGGATGGCCGCGATGGCAACTAGGCCGTCCTCTTGCTATACTTACATCAGCTTTCCCGAGCACCGGCTGCCGCCGATAAAGAGGAAGGAAGTGCCCAAATCACCTGGCAAAAGCCTCATCCGTTCCACACCTAACCATTCCCCTGGAAAAAATAACGGAGTTTGATGCTACTTCGTTGACATTTGGTTTAGGGGGTTTAGGGCCCGAGCGGGGGCGCTACCATCGCATCCATGGTTCGCTTAGGGTCCCCTAGGCGGCGCTGTACTAACTCGATAAGAAAATTTGAATAAATAAAAAAATAAATAAATAAAAAAATAAATAAATAAAAAAAAATAGAAATTGATGAGGTAAAGCATAAATTTAAGTTGTTACATAGACAGGAAATAGGTAGTAACTTTATGAAATAAGATTTATAATGTACCTAGATAGTTGAGTGCGATGTAAAAATGTATATAGGGTTAAACAGTCTGTTAAAGGGCTAACCAATAAAAAATCTATGACGCTTCATACTTCACGGCGGATTCGCATTTAGCGTCGAAAACGAGCCGATAGCGACACCGAAACCAGAGAGGGCTATTAGTAGCCGTTAAATTGAGTTTGTGCGGCACATAATGCAGAAATTCTTGACTTGTTCCACACGATCGTTCCCCCTCCTCGCCCCGCGCTATCTCGCCGTCCATACCGACGGAGCATTTATTTCCGTCCTGCGGGTGTTACATGATCGCGGAAGGAGCACTGGGATCCAGCCGCTTTCGAGTAATACCCTGGAATCAATTCCTGGCTCTCCGTGAAAACTGTAGGCAACATTGACACATTTTGTTAGCCGTAAATCTATCTACTATCAAAAAAATAAACAATCGTATATATATATATATGTTCTAGGACAGACCTAACCTCGAGTTTGGAGCACTTGTGTTTATATTTATTTATAAAGTGAATTTTTCTCCGTTTTTTTTTTCTTGAGTTACTATGCAATGACCTAACCTAAACCTAACCCTAATTTTGGAGCATTTCTTTTAATATTTATTTACAAAGTGAATTTTTCTTGTATTTAAGTTATCATGCAGTGTCCTAACATATAATAGAAATGGGTCAACATGTTTCACACGAGAATTCTAACAAAGTTGGCGTTGGTCGCTCTTAAGTGCAGAATGACGGTACTTTGCCACGTTGTTGCGGTACTAAGTTAACCTAAAATTGGTAGGTTAACGTACAAAGTTTCATTTACTATTTAAAATCAAGTGAACGCCTTAAAATTCAATGGCTGTCTTATTAAAAATGGCAGATTATATATTTGAAACGGGATTAGGTAACGGATTTGTGGTAAATATAAATTTCCTAACCACAAAAGTGACCAAAAAATTTGATTGTTGTCAAACTGAATTAAGGGTGGGTGGGTGGGGTGGCAGGTGTTCCAAAAAGCTGGTGGTAACGAACGAGCAATGTGGGAGCCTCGGCTGTGGGAACACACTCATCCTCTATTAATAGTATCTTGCTCAAATTTCTACTTTTAGAAAGGCATATACTCGCGGACGTGTCTTCGTGTAAAAAGGTACTCGCCCACGCAGATTGTAGCGAAGTTCCTTCGAACTTTCATTCTTGGTGCACTCGGTCTTTCTCGAGATGCGAATAAATGAATAAATAAAATAATTATAATAAATAATAATAACATAACAATCAATCAAATACATTAATTTTTATACATAATTTTTATAATTGCGATAATTCAGGTCTGATAATTATATCAAATACAAAAAAAAAAAAAAAATAAAAAAAGACAAATAAATAACAATTGTACAAAATTAATTTTTAACGAATTGTGTGAAGCACGGAGTCCAATGACGAATAATATTCGTGATTAATGTAATTGCAGTAATTAAAGTTTGATAAATAATTGTAATAGTTATAATCAATAATAACGGTATAACAATCGTGCTAATTATATGTGCAATGAATTATAGCTCGAGATACAGCAAATTTTACGTAAACGTATTATCCAGAGTGATTGACAATCAGAATCCGCATCGGATGTTCGCGTCGGGGCCGGTAAAAATATTCCCGATCAAAGGTAACGGAAGCCCTGTCGCAAAAAGAGAGACTGTTGAAAAATTCATTCAGCCGCGAAAACCGGTCGCTTTATTTATATTCAACCTCCTGGTGCAACGATCTCGAAACGGTTCCGGCATGCAACGCGAAATTCCATTCGCGATGCATCCTGGGCGAACGCTTTGTTTCCGGCGAATAATTAATCGCGACTTTTGTCAATGAAAAATTCACGGGAGGAGGAGTGGGGAGGAAGGACTGCGATCAACTCGGTTGAACGTTATTCGATTACCCGACTGTCACAGGGGAATTTAATTTCAGGCTTTTTTTCGGAGGCGACGAAAGACGAGGTTGACCGAATTATTTCTTGCTTTCGATAATATAATTATTGAAATGAAATTATCGTAATTATAAACATTATTAATAATTGCGAATATTACTCGACGTTGTAGTTACGACGTTCCGTAATTATTCCGTAATTATTGTGAACCGTGACTTATTCGAAATTTTGTTTATTTTGCAATTGCAGCTTTGGTAGTATCACGCCACGTGACAAGATGGCGTTACTCTGCACTTAAGAGTGACCAACACTAGATTTCTTACAATATTGTTAT